ATGCAAAGGACTGCCAGCAATCACCAAAGCTGGGAAGAGACAAGGAAGAATTCTCCCCTGCAACCTTCAGAGGGAGTAGAAGACTGCTGACACCTTGATCTCAGACTTCCAACCTCCAGAACTGTAAGGAAATAAAATTCTATTGTTTTAAGCCACCGTGTTCACGGTGACTCATTAGGATAGCCTCAGAAAACTAATACAAAAGTTAACCCTGACTTAGGGCAGTTTTGGCCTTAGCAGTAACCTGTTGGGTTGAGTGTGAAGTTATGCCCATGATGTGTGATGTGGGGGTGGTACACTGGTCAGACAGAGCTGAGAATGTGTCTAATACTCACTCCTGCCCAGTCCACGAAGGCATAGAGAAGGATGAGAGAGATGGCGGGTGGCAGATGGAGTGAGGGAGGCAGAACTGGGTTTGGTAGGCAGCTTGGGCTTAAGAACTGAGCTGGGCCAGTGAGATGTGAGCAAATAACAAGTGTTCAGGATGGCAATGCAAGGGTTTCATCATCCCTGCATCTAAAGACCTGAAGGATCTCGTGTTTTCCACTCACCCAGAGTAAGGGCCATGAAAGGTGGACCACTTTAGCCCCATGTTTAGATTTTAATCATCTGTCAGGTTTGAACCAGCTAAAACCCACTGAACAACAGCTGGCTCCGATTTTGTATTTTACACAATGCCAAGATACTGTTAGCAGGTTCACTAAAGGGTTCAATTAGCTGAAGCAAATGCTTAGAATCATTTGGGAGATAATTACTTAAAATGTACACCCTGAAATGTATGAAATTTTTAATAATACAAACCCAAGCCAAGAAAATATCCTTGTTAAAATGAAACTAATAGGCGATGATGGAATTGAAAGGTGTGTCTTAAACTGACTTGCTTTTCATAATTAGGCTAATTTCACAGTGGAAGCATTTCTAGGTAGTTTCTAGGGAGAAAAAAAGAGCATTTCTAAGATGATAATACCAACAATTGTTAGGACATTCTCTTTGACCAGCCACCTTTCAATGAAAACAATGAAATAAATAAATCTTGACAAAGCTTCCCTCTTATTAGAGTGCCTAACGCACCCCAGTTTGCCTGGGAATGTTCCAGTTTTAGCACTGAAGATCCCACATCCCAGAAGCCCCTCAGCCCTGGGCAAACCAGCACAGTTTGCCACCTTTCTTTAATCCCTTACAAAAGTACGTTTACATCCTATTTTCCCAAAGAGGTTTTCCCTGATCACTCAACACCACCTTCATTCTACTCTATGTGAGTGGTCGTATAATTCTGCTTTAATTAGAATTCTACTTCCAATTCTCTTTAATTCTACTTTAATTCTATCTATTTTCTTGAGGGTAAAACTCTTGTCTGTCCTTGGCACCCCTCTACTCCTAGTGCCTGGGAGAGTGAATGGCACAGAGTAGATGCTTACTAAGTGTTTGCTGTTTCAATTGAAACAAATTAGTTACATGTCCAGGGCAGGGGCGCCACCATCTTTTCTCCAGTGAGATTTAGGGAAAAGACATACCAGACACAATGGACTTCTGAGAAACACAATCACAGACCTGCAAACACTGGCACAGCCAGAAGTCATGGATGTGCAGGGATTTGAGAAAACTGGCGATTCCCACCTACCTAAGCTCCACAGTCTTAGCTTACCTGAGTCACAGCTTACCTAAGTCCCACAGACTAAGGCACTACAAAAAGGTAAGACTAAGTATTAGCAGCCAAAAAGGAACTAGCGCAGGAGAAAAAAATGGGGAAAGGCAAGAAAATGGGTCCGTTCACCGCATATAACATTCATTCCACACTTGCCAGTCTGCATTTTCCACCTATTAGTTCACTCACCCACATAACAAGCCTGTAAGCCAAAGTTCTTAGTCACAACGAGGGGGCCCCAAACCAGTTCCATCCTCACGAGTGACTAAGTGCAAGACGGCTTTTTTATCTATCGCCGTTGTATTTGTGCCCTCTCTTGCACAGTATCACAAGATGTTTATCTCAGATCCCTTACTCCTGATAAGACTGACACACAGAGATGACACTTCAAGGCCAGGAGCTCAGGATGCCTGCATGAGGCTGGATACCGCTTATCTGTTAGCACCCTCTGTCTGGCAACAGCCAATAACCTTCTTTCAAAGCACCTCCTTATTCCAGATTCTCATCAATTTATCCCATTATTTTTACTACTGAAACCTCAGTCCTCTTGCTCTCTGCCCAATACAGCATCTGTCTGATAACCTGAGAAAACAGAATCTGTCGGTCTGACAGGTACATAGGTCATTGTTTCCAAATTTGAAATTATGGCATAATAAGGATTCATGCTGCCATGACTCTTTTTTTTTTCTTTTCTTTTTCTTGTATATATTTTTACCGAAGAATAGTCAGTTTGCAATGTTCTGTCAATTTCTGTATGAACTCTCTTCTTTCCCTGGGCCTCACACCCAGTCTCACCCCAAGACAGCACAATCCAGAATGCACTGCCAAGGCAGGGCCAGAGAACAGGCCATGCACTGCATGATTTCAGAGGATGCCATTCACATGATGTGAATGGTGCTTCCCGCACAGACATCTGCTGTACCCCTGGCAAAGGCACATGGTGTAAGACAACAAAGTAAGTATAGTCTCTGCTTGAAGTACGAGTTATAGCAGCAGGGTAAATACATCTAAGAAGATTTACGTTAAGATGAGGCTAGAAGCAGACTGAGAGTGAGAAAGAAGACTGAGATGACCTCTATTTGTCCTTCCAGGTGCCTGGAGACTGATCATCGGGTAATACATCAACTGGGCTTCTAGATGGTTTCAGGCCAGGGGAAGCACAGCAGACTAGAAGTCAGGATGAGAGAGAGAGTTGGGGTATTTATCCTCCCCATTTCTTCCCTACCAGGCCATAGTTTGACAGTGGTGAGTTCCTCTAACCAAGGCCTTGGCTCCTAACAGGCCTCCCTCTCCTACAGATATTGCTCTCTCTGATTCCGGGAGCTATGCCTCCCATTACTTCTCTAGATCAGCTTTCTAACAGCTTCCAGCAGTTTCTAGTCCTGAGGTGGCTTGCCATTCCTCAATGGTTTCCCTTAACCTTGTTGACATCCTATAAATAATTCCTAATTAAACTTTCACCAATCATTAATTGAGCAACTCTGTTAAAGCATGTGTCATCTAAAAGAAACAAATATGAATAAAACTGGTTCTTTCTCATAAAGAGATTTCAGGACAACTAAATGATGTCCTGGGTATCTTCTTCTGATATCACACCCTGTCCTTCCAATGAGAAACCCATCTCAAATACTTGGAATTCAATGAACCCTTCCCCAACCCCTGACACAGTGATGGCCACATGACTCAGACTTGGCCAATCATGGTATTCACCTCCCCACCACCGTGATTAGTTCAGGGACAGCCATATGACCCAGGTCTGGCCAATCATTCATTACTCCTCCACCACATCAATTGGCCCAGAGATGAGTACATGACCCCAAACTGAGTTCATCCCTCTCTTGTAATTTTGTCAGAGCTTCTGTAGAAGAAGTTTTCTCTTTTGTCTAGGATTGCTAACTGTAAAGGTGATGTATGCCTGGACGCCATCTTGGCTTCCACATGGAGAGAGCTTGTTGAGAATTAGATCAACATAAATGAAAGCAGACATTAGAGGGAGAAAGTGTGAGAAAGACAAATTCCTCATATTCTTTGAACATCTTAAGTGGGTCTCAATGCCAACCCTGGAATTTTCAATTATTTGAGCTATTTTGCCCAAACAATTTGAGTTAGGTATCTGTTACTTGCAAATAAAACAGCCCTGAGTAGTAAAAATGGCCTCCATTGCTAACCCATGCTCTCCAATAATCCAGGGCACCCAAAATTTATCATAGGAAAGTCAATTCCTTAGAACCATTACAAACAATATCTTTGGTGAATGGGGTTGGGCCAAGTGGAAAGAGCATTTCAAATTATACACACTTAGATGAGACAAGAATCTTGGATCTTATCTTTTAAGGGATTTCTCCTACATGTTTTAAAATTTAAATGCATTTGTTTTAAAATAAGTAAATAAGAAGAGATAGGTCCTTATCAAGAGATAATGGGTCCATATTAGATACCAAATTGGTCCTTGAAATGTGACTTCATGGTTAAGCCAATTTGAGATTAAAAATGTGCCCATACACATTAAGACTGGCATGTTTTCTTAAAACTGCAAGCATACTGAAACATAATAAAAAATAATTATAGCAAAAGGTTTGTTGTATTAGTTTAAAAGTCTAGGTTATAAAACACTTTTAAAGAAATGCAATCATGAAACTTTTAAGAAAACATTAAAATGAGCCAGGCTCTTGAAACAAATCTTATGTAGTAGGGAAGGAAATATGAGGGGTCCAGCTTTAATGAAGAGAAGGATTTGTGATCTGATGTCAAATTGTTTGTAAACTCATACTTTTCATTTTCTGAAAGTACATGAAAATAATTTATTTTCCTAAAGAGTTTAATGTTCTCTGTGCAATATTAGTTGTACTCTCACTTTCAAAAAGTTATGTCCACAACTGGATTAGTCTAAAATGCTAAGTAAATATCAGCAATGCAAATTCTGGCCCAGTGCCTACCTAAATAACCAAACTTCCAAGTTAACATCAAGATTTTGTTCACATAATAATAAGGTGGAATTGCCATGTGCCTGTGTCAGATAATGACATTTAGGCTGATGTTCTTATTAACAAAGAACAGATCAGAAACAGTACTCTGAAAGAGAAAAGCAGAAACTTATCTTGACCTTCCCATTTGGCACTCAGTGAGAAAAAAAATTACACTTTTCCTAACTTAATGCAACCTGAAAATTCAGAAATAAAATCTAAATCATTTTTATACTTCTCATTTATCAGCACCTCCCCGAGAAAGGTCTCATTACCATACATAGCACACTGAACACGCTTCATTCAGATCAAGAAAATCAAATACACTGCAAATTTCTTCTTCAAACAAGAGTTTTTATAACTAAACTCAAGATTGTATAGATCACAAAATGTTAGTTCCAGATATTTTTATTAATGTGGCATTAAATTTCGAAAATTCCTCAGAAGCTACCATTTACAATTTTAAAGGATCTAAGTCAGTTTTCATGAGATGTCTTGAAGATTTTTCAGTGCTTCTCAAAGAAGTTAATCCATTAAGCTGAAGCCAGTCCCTATCCTTTGGAAGACCGGTGGAAGAAAGGAAGGCTGGAGCTACAAAAGCATAGCAAGGAAATGATCAAGAAAATTGTCAATAAACACAAATGTTCAAGGGGCTCAAATAGATATATGAACAACCATGTTCACAGCAGCATTACTCACAATAGCCAAAAGGTGGAGGTAACCCACATGTCTACTAACAGATGAATGGATAAACACACTATAGTACACACACACTCCAGTATATTATTCAGCCTTAAAAAAGGAAGGAAATTCTGACACCTGCTACAACATGGATGAACCTTGAAGACATTATGCTAAATGAAAGAAGTCAACCACAAAAGGGCAAAGATTGTATAATTCCATTTATATTAAGTACCTACAGTAGTCAAATTCAGAGACAGAAAATAGAATGGTGGCTGTCAGGAGCTGCAGGGAGAGGGAAATGAGAAGTTGTTGTTTAATGAGTAACAGAGTTCCAGTTGGGAAAGTTAAAAAAGTTCTGGATATGGATGGTGGTGACAGCTGCACAATAACGTGAATGTACTTGGTACCACTAAACTACACACTTAACAATAGTTAAAATAGTAAATTTTACATTTTGTATATTTTACCGTTAAAAAAAATGCAGATGTGTATAAGGGCAGGCGGGCCTGTGGCTGAGTGGCGCAGGTCAGGGTTTGTGATGGTAGCGAGCGCGGAGATTTCGATCAATGAGTGTGCATGCGTCCTCTCTAAAGCGAGCAGGCCCAGGCCCTGCTCTGCCCGCAGATTGCGCCCATGTGCCATCTTCCTGGCAGATATTATCATTTCTCAAGAGAAGCCTGAAATCCATATTTGAATGAGACATCATCTATTTTCCTTTTTAAATTGGCAACAAAGTTTAAGTTTTAAAAACACTACGGGGGGGGGGGAATAAAGCATGTCTGCAGGCCTCTAGCATGTATCTTTCGATTTAGAGAGTGAATTAACAGCATTCTTTCCATGAACGAAGGCCACATTTGATTCAGGGGAGCAAGCCAAGTCCTGAACAGCATCATCCTGAGCAGAGGAATCACTTTCAGCCTGTGCTGCCAGCCAGTGCTTTCAGGGAGGGAGACATACAAGTTTATCACAACTGTAACCTCATTCTAGGAAGCTATAAACAAGTGGAAAAGGGGTATCTTACGTGTGATTAGTTTTGCTGTTATGTATCTACAACGAGAGCCTTTAGAATTCTTGCATATATGAGAATAGGCTTCCACTTATTGGCCAGTTTAATAGATCCCACATTAGTCTCAGACAAGAATGGAACCCTCTACTGAAGAATAAAGATGTGAGAAGCATTCATCCAAATCACGTGAAGGACAACTTGGCAGTATTAACAGCCCTAACTCTTGCAAATAAGGCTGTGGGAGCCTGAAGTTTAAAACAAAACTAATGTTTTAATTTTATATTTCATGAAGTTGGTGGGGGTAGGAGGGCAGTAATTTCAAAATAATAAAACATCTTAGAATAAACTAACATGAGTCATTATTAAATGAGTGCAATTCTGGAGCAGAACTAAAGCCCTCATAAAGCATCCTCAGTTCTTCAAAATAAGCAGCTTTATTTTTTACTTGTGTTTATCGTGTTATCACTATGCTGTAGATGAGGTGAATAGCATCTTTAGTGTAAGAATGCAATTTGAATTCATACTCAATTCAACTTAACAAGTGTTTATTGATCTCCTTTTATACATTCAGTGCTGTGATGGGCATAGTGGATAATACACAAGAATTGTGTTCACCCTTGTTCCCGACCACTAATACCCCACCCACACAACCTCGCTTCATTTCAAGTGGGGCAACCAGAAAAGCCAACGTGAAACAATCAGAGGGCAGGAGAGGGCAGAAGCCACCTGTAGCTCACTTTGGATTCCACATGGTAGAAAATTTTGTGCCATAACATCCCCAACCCTTCTTGGCAGTCATCTTGTTAGGGTGTAACTGTTAGAGCTGGGAGAGAAACCAAGAGGGCATTCAGCCTTCAGTAGGGAAAGATTTTATCTTGTTGCACAAATAAGGCGTGTGAGGATCAGTTAAAGGATCTGTCTAAAGGCACACATTAAGTGGGAGAAGGGACCAGAATCCAGACTCCTGCTGCCAGAGCATGACTCCTCCTGCCCCAGGCCACTGCCCATTCTATCACCAGCAGCGAAGACCCTTCATTAGTTCAACAAGCATTTAATGGGCACTTCCTTCTGCATGCCGCTCCTCTGCTCAATCCCATCAGGAATTTGAGGTTCATCTTGTCACACTGTTTAAAAGTGTAAAGGCTGGAGCAAGAAGGAGGAGAAAAAGAGGTGGGCAGGTTCTCTGTTTGGAGCTGGGCCTCTCAGTGCCTGTGCCTCCAAGGGGTCACTGCAGGTCCAAGGCCTGGTCTTCAGCTCTGCATTCAGGAATTTGATTTTATCAGTTCCCTCAGGGGTGATGAGACTCTGGGGAACTGACTCACGCCAACCAAATGCTCAAGATACTGATTGATAAACCAGAAGGCCGGTTTGCTCGTGTACAATGAGAAACAGATTGTTAGGCAGGCCAGGATATGCTTCTATGCTGCTTTGAAGCCCCTTTCAGGAAACTTCTTCCAGGAGGTGACTCCTTGGAAAACACAGAAGAGAGAAAGGGAGCCTTGGTGACCCGAACTCCGGACAAACCGGACAGCCGTTCACAGATGGAAGCCATGTCCTCCATCCATCGTCCACACACGTCGTCAGCCTGCAACCACCTCGTCTCTTCTCCCCAGGCACACTCTACCCCATCCTCTGCTCGTTAAAATATTGATAACTAATGTTAATAACTTACTGAATGCTTACAACACACTAAGCACAGCTCTGAGATCTTCACATGCATTTTCTCATTTAATCTCCCCAACATTGTGAGACAGGTACTGCCATTATCCTCCTTTTAAAAACAACAAAGGCTCAGAGGGTTGAGTAACTTGCCCACAGTCACAAACCTAGCAAGACACCACGAGGATTCAGACCAGGAAGTCAGACCCCAAAGCCCACATGCCTAACCATTAAACTGCCCTGCCTGCGAGGCAGCCCCCCACCCCCGCTCCCTCCCACCAAGGCCTCTGGTGAAGCCTTCAATGATCCCCGACCACGCTCTCGCCCTTCCTCCAAGCCCCACTGCTCCTCTGGCTTTTGCTGCATATCTAACTACGATCCCTACCTCCCTCTTCAGGATTTAAGGCAAATCAATCCATATCCGTCTGCTCAGGCTGCTGATGACTTGTTCCAAAGGGCATCTGGGACCGCAGTAGGTACAGTAAGCAAAGAGATACGGAAGTTCTGTCAGCACAAAGCTGTATCTACACACACACACACAGACAGACAGACACAAACACACACACACACACACACACACACACACACACAACAACTACTCCTCAAGATTCGAGGTTACACAGATTCAACCTGTATCTGCAAGCATGAGGACTTGCTAATTTAACCTCCCCTGGCCTTGAAGTTCCTGATTTATGAGATAGTTAAAAACCAAGCAATTACTTCCCAGTAGGTATTAAGATTATGGACATATAAACAGGACAATTTAATCATTACCTAGATAAACTGGGCCTTAAATCCTAGGCACTGCTAAAGGTTTACGCAAAGCCTTTATGTAATTCACCAAAGTCATTTCAATGCCAGAACAGCTTAGACTTTAAATAGAGGGCACCTAACAAGAGCTTTTCAAGTCTTATCCTCCTACTTAATCAAAAAATGGAGACAAGACCATCGGGTGACTCGCTCTCTCAAAAAGATGCAAGTCTTAAAAACAAGTTTGTTTGATATAATAGTATCATCTTTCAGGATTAACAACTAAAAACCACAGATCTAGGCCTTTCCAAACGCTTGTAATTTCCTTGGTCTTTGAATTTGTCGCATACAAATAAGATAAAGCCAGTGACCCAAACTGCTTACCCTGAGCCCCCAAACCTTGATTATGGATGTCCAATTACTTGTGATATACCTGAAAATGTTCCAAAGCGAACATAGGTCATTTTTGTGGGGACAGCATCCTTCCTCATTCCTCTGGGTACTAATATCCCAGTTGTCACTGGAGACTATGCCCCGCCCCCATTCCTAGTCCCTGTGTTTTAATAAAGGGGTGATTTAACCCCTTTCCAAGGGTGGGCAGTGACCCAGGCCTGACCAATTCGCCTGGCTGCCATGTTTGGTTGAGAAACTGGCATGGAACCAATCCAGACAATGAGAATAAAATCTGGGAATCTGGCTAGAGCTCCAAAGAAAGAGAAACTCCCCACTGGAGTGGCTTAGCTAACAGACAAGCCTGGAGCTACCAATTATGTCTTGATGTCATGAAGGGAGGACCTGCCTGAGGATGAAACCAATTCAGGTGAATGTCAAGTCAAGCGATGGCAAGAGACAGATTTCTGATGTCATTGTTTGAGACCTGAATCCAGCCAAGGCTTTAAGCCTTCACACTTACAAGAATGAATTAAATGTAATATTTTTCCAAGCCCCTTTGAATCAGGTTTCTATCAACCTAAAGAGTCTTAACAGATACAGATTCTTTTAATCTGAAACTTTATATAAGGATAGCAAATGCGTTATTTAACTTTAAAAGTATTAAAGTATAAAATGAGCTTATACCAGATGTTAATTTCCTACTCCGAACAACTTCCCATGCCTTACCCACAATCCCCTGCTTGCAGAAATGGTGCTGGAGAAGTCAGTGCACGAGGCAGCCACCAGTGGACCTGGGATGAACAGCCAACCCAAAGGCAGATAATTATTTTCCTGGCCAGGCTGCAATAGCTGTGTGGCCTGAACCAGTGAGCTGGGCCAATAGGAAACTCTCCCTTAAGAACTGAGCCAGAAGATACTGAGGTCCCAGGCTGTAGCCTTATGGCTAACCATTCAGGGGCCATATGTAAAACGAAGCAACAGAGGAAGATAGGAGAGAAAACGGGAGGGGCCAAATGAGGAGAAACCACACAAACTCTGAGAAAGATTATGACTCCATTCTCAATTTTCCAGGCCTTTGTCTCTGTCCCTAGGACACCCACCTATTCTTTGTTTCACGGGCTCAGAATCCTTTCAAAGGGCAGAGCAGTACTGTGGTGAGAGACTATGGTTTTTTCAAGTGACCACCTGGGTGTGAGTCCAGATTCCCACCCACCAGCCACATGCCTTAGGGCACATTCCTGAAGCCTGCACCTCCTCAGTAGAATGAGGATGGTAAGACTCTACTCCCCAGGGCAGGGGGGAAGAGTTCGTGTGATCATGTACTCAGAACAATGTCATGATAGTCTCTGTCACTGTTACAATGAGCCCATTGGCCTTAAGCTCATTTGAGTGACATCCTAGTCCTTGACAACTGAGAGGGCCCAGAACACTAATTTATTGATTAACTTAAATATAAATATATTTTTACACAATACATATGGAACCGTCAATATGGGTATAACTACAAGTAAAATCCGCTTCAACGGGGGAAGATCTGAGCCATGGGTGGCATATGAAAGTGGACACTCCCCATCCCTGTCCCCATTCTGTATTGTACCCTGTTCCTCTTGGGTCCTGCTCTGACTCTTCGGGACTAATTATTCCATATACCAGGGCTGACAGGCCAACTTTCAAGACTTCTCCTCTGCCTGCAACTGTTTGAAGCTCAGCCTCCTCTTCCATTGCATCCTCCAGCTCTAGCCGTCTCCTCGGCTCCTCATTCTTATGGGGCAGGTGTCCGCGTGCAGTAGGTGAGCCCAGGAAGATACAGATGTTGCAGAAGAAGGTGTGTGTCTGTAGCCTGCCCTGGCTTTCAGCATGAAGGAAACAGCTAAGCCAAATCCAGAAGCCGTCTCTCGTTACTCAAATCGCTGACCTGCGATTACTTCCTGTTCCGAGTGGGCCCACCCCTTCCGAGTTCGGGAGAAAAATTCATTTAGAAGCTGGGGGATTTTACTCTTTAACTGTTTTGTCCCTTCTGTGAAAATTACACAAGCAACTGTATAGACTTGGTTCCTGTCCAGATAAGTATCATTTAATCGCTCTGAACTGCTGACCTATACTTTACAGCCTTCAAAAAAACAAAACGGACTTTGCTAAAGAAAGGTGACATAAATCACCTTTAGAAAAACCTCTCTATTTAGAAAAAAGAAATCCTCTATTTCCCCAGAAAAAGAAAACATTCACAGATATATTCTTCAAATCTGTTCCCCAAAATGCATTAAGAATGAGAGGTATATAGGAGTCCTGAGAAAGGAACAGAAGTTTTTATTTCTCAAGGGAAAAAATAAGACCTTCCGCAAAGGCCATGGTGTATTTGGTTTTGTATTCTCTGCTAAAAGGCAATAATCGAGGAACTAAACCTATATTCCCAGGGTCTTTCTTCCTGCTTTCTTTTGGTAGGGTCAAGATGCGAGCCTTTTTAGTACATTCGCTACTCTAAAAATCAGAGAATTCATATTTTCTGACAGCTTCAGAAGAGGGCTGGGTGAGAAAAGAACTGACACACTCCAGCGTCTCAAACAACAGGGCACTTCCATGCAGGAAAAAACCACTTTTTGAGTTTACATGCAGTCCCTCAACTTACAAGCTGATCATGTTCTAAGGTTCTTCCTAACCTGGAATGCTCAGAATCTCGAAAGCATTCTCCCCCGAGAACAACATTCTCAGCACAGACTGACGTTACCCTAAGAGTCATCCTAACCTCAGATTTTCTGAAGAATCACGTAGTTTTGTCCTGTGGGCCCTGCACAGTCCAGTCACAACTGGTACCGTTCTTTATGGAAATGCATTCAGAGGTCCAAATAAGACACAGTGTTTCAATGCTTCTGACCCTACCGCACTGTCACCAGAGCCAAGATGTCAGTGGTGACCAGAGCCTGCACTCCAGGGGTGAGGGGGCTCACCCCACCCACACTGACCAACCAAGGGAACCGAGAGGGGTAAGGGTAGGGCCGGCGGGGTCCTTCCTGTTCCTCCTTCTGGCCCCCATTTGGCCACCAGCAGAGAACGGAAAAGCAGGAACTCGAGGCCAGCAACGCAGACCCCAGGGCCACAGAGTGCAGGAATGGGGGAGGGAAGGAGAATTCTCTGAGGCTTTGGCCAGCTGGTTCCTCCCGCTCGGCCTGGACTGCCTGTGCTCTTAACTTTCATTTCCACTGTTGGTTGCTAAGTGCTATACATAATGCAAAAGTAAACAGTAACACAGCGCAGTTTGGGAGACACGGAAACACACATCAATCAGCCAAGGAAAAAGACTCTCAAAGTTTCTAGGTTTATTTTTAGATCCTGGTTGACCAAACGAGTAACCTAAATGTCCAAAGGAAGAGAAGCTGGGACCAAAAGCGTAACACAGCTACCGCAGATCTCCAGGTCCATCTTAGCTTATAAAATATGCATCGGTCAAGTCCTCAGGTGTTTAAAGTGCCTCATAGTAGCACTTTGAAAAGGACACAGCAGCCAATGCACTCTACGCACAAGGCTTGCTCAACAGAAAACATCATCCCCTGGGGTTTCAAGACCGTGGAGTAAGTGCAACCCGAAATATTGGTATCCTTCAGTAGAGAACACAATTTAACAAAAGGAACTAAAACAACGCTAAAGAAATGTATGTAAATCCACTGAGGAAAGGAAAAGTGTTTTATTCACCTTGTATTCTCACAACGTTTGGCATAGTGCCTTGTACAGAGCAGACATGCAATAAATCTTTGTTTAATAATAGTAATAATAATAACAATAATAATCCTGGAAGAGCCCTCATTTCTAAGCAAAACTATCATTATGACCTTCTTGAAATTCCCTACATGGTGAAATCAAACCAGCCAAACAGACTTGAAATTTCAAAAATAAACTTAGCACTATAAAAGGGAACCAGAAGAAAGAGCATAACAGACAGATTATAAAAGACTCAACTATTGGATTGGAAAGCAGGAATAACCCTGAGTGAGCCTTTGAGATTTGCTTGGTTTCTTCACCTGTGAGATGAGATGATATTCGTGGCCCTACCACCTCATGGCAATGCAGTAGAGACAGATGAGAAATTGTTAGCGGGAGCACTGCTCAGACTCCACCCACAAGCCGCATCATGACAGTCAAGTTACAAGGCAAAGATCTGGGACCCGAGGGAACCAAGTTATTATTCTCAGTGTATCTACCTAATTCCCAATAAATGCAAAAATCTGTTTTCCCTTAGAAAAGACCCTTCTGATTATAATACCACTATTTTAAGTTGAAAAAAAATGCACAAATAAGAGAAGACACTTGTTTACGGAAAGTTAATAAAAAAAAAATGGGACATCTTTTATTTTTAAATATTCAAAACTTCAATTGATTAAATCCACTGGAAATATATCCTTATTAAATATGTCTTTATATAATCTTACATAAGGTAAAAGTTACTATATTAAAATGATAATAGCAAAAAAATTATTTAGATTTTTTATCAAATGACCAAGAACAGAATGGCTAAGCAACCTGGGGTATATCCATCCAACAGAATATTATATGCTCAATTAAGTATTATCTACAAAGAGTATATAATAAAATGTAGAGTTCCTGTAAAAAGTGAAAACCTCTATTTCTTTTATTCTCAATCTTTCACTTCTGACACCAGTGTGTGAAGGTTTTTTCCACACCAACCAATTCTCTAACTCTCTGAGCACCAACTGGGTGTCCTATAATTCAATTCTTCCTACTAACTACTTGAAGTTAATGCAGACCCCTCAGGTTAAGGGCTCAGTCCCACAAGACTGCTCCCCACTTCAAAGACCAGTTGTAAGTCCTATGTTGTCACCTGTGCTTCTGACCAACCAGCTATAAATCAGGAGTTCCTAAGACCCCCCACCTCAGGTTCAGTGATTTTCTAGAATAGCTCACAGAACTCAAGAAAACAGTTTCCTTACTAGAGTACCAATTTACTATAAAGGGATACGACTCAGGAACAGGCAGATGGAAGAGATGCATACAGTGAGGTATGGGGGAAGGGGCTTAGAGCTTCCATGCTCTCTCCAAGCATGCCACCCTCCCAGCACTTGCTATGTTTTGAAACCTGGAAGGTCTCCAAACCCCATTACAAAGGATTTTTATGGAGGTTCCATCATAATGGCATGGTTGATTAAATTACTGGCCATTAGTGACTGAATTCAATCTCCAGCCCCTTTTCCCTCCCTGGAGGTTGGGGGTAGGGGAGTGGCAGAGGGGAGGAGCTAAAATTCCAATCCTCTATCTTCAAGAGTCACCTCATTAGCATAAATTCAGATATGGTTGAAAGAGGCATACTGTAAGTAACAAAAGACATTCCTCTTATCCCGATCCCTCAGAAACTCCAAGGGTTTTAGGAGCTCTGTGCCAGCAAATGAAGACAAAGACCAAATATATATTTCTTATTATATCACAGTATCAGAGCTTAGGGTAGACGGTTAAATTTTAAAATATTTTTAAAATTACATCTAAATATGACTGTATAACTAAAGAAAAAAAATCTCTCTATGAAAATAATGAAATGTTCCAAATATTAACCCTGTTTGCCTTTGAATATTTAGATTATTACTTTTTTCTTCTTTCCAATGTTCTCTACTGTGCAGACTTTATTTCACGACAATGCCTTACTTTTACAATGGTAGGGATGAGGGTATGAAGGAAACAGCACCCAGGCTCTGGTGAACATAATTTGTAAGAGTCTAGATTAAAAAAATACAAGGCACAGTTTTCCTGTTACTTTCCCAAGAAACATCAGAGGCCAGAACTGACATGATTCTCACTGCCTGCCTTTTGGTCTCACGTGGAAATAGCCGTCATGTCTTCCAAAGGGTGAGGTGGTGGGAACTCAACAACCCAGATTTCCCACATCCCATTCCTCCCCTTCTGACAAGTCACAGAGCAAAATCCCATCAAAGGGCTCTTACTTTAAATATCCTATTAGAAATTCCAGGTCACATGTCTAAAGAGAAGTGTGTATGTGTCTTTCAGTCTGTCTGTACATCTGTTTCCTCCCGCTTCCTCTGTCCCCAAGGGCAGCAAGACAAACTCCAGGGCCATGATGCAGCAATCTGCCTCAGCTGTCAAATCTGATCAATCTGAATGATAAATGATAAATCTATTTATCAAAATAGAATAGTAATGCACAAAAAGTGAGAACCAAAGGAACCTCAGCCAGGATAACACTCCAATATTAAACAATTTTAAATAACAAAGTTTGAAGTCCATCCCTCCTCTCAAACTTGCCATAAAATCCAAATTAATAGTCTCAGATCCCCATCATCAGTATTCCAAGCCCTAATACTGAATTAGGCTAAATATTTCACCTTCAAGTACATACAACAATCAGATAAACGTTCAAAATCCCTTGCATAGCACTACAGAGATATATATCATATACACCTTTACATAAAAATAATGAAGGAAAGCACCCCAAATATTAACACCCGCTGCCTTTAAATTAAGGGTAATAATACTACAGTTACGCTCCTGTAAGTATGGGGGTAAATTAGAGATTTTTAATTTCAATACTACTAAAAGTATACCCAATGGTGTGTTCACCATTAAAAGAAATTTTCTGAAATGCTTATTAAAACAAAAGACATTTTAGTAAAGAAAATAATAATCTCCCTAATTTATCTCTTTAGTAAATTCAAGTATTTGCAATATCTTGTATGAAATTATCTTCTGAAAGCTGGTGCCCTTGCACCATGGACAGTAAAGACCAGCCACAGCAGCGGCAGGAGTTCCCTGTGTGAGATGCTGCTCCCCGTGCTCACAGGTGCTGCCCACTCACCCTCTCAACCTTCACAGCAGCCCCATGAAGCAGGTATGACTGACCCATTGCCCAGTTGCCACCTGAAGATACAAGCTTCTGGAGGTCGCTCGGCGGTAAGTGGCAGCACTAAGACTGAAGCCGGGTTAATCCAGCTCCAGAGGAGGTGCACTCTCTCCCCGACAGATCTACAGATTGTGTCTGCATCCCTTTTCGCTTCTACCAAAAATATCCTTGCCCAAGCTTGCCTTGGACAACCTGCAGGAAAAACAACTGGCATCAACTAACCAAACAAACAATCAGTATAGATTTAGCAACGCTGAACGGAAAAGGTCCCGAATTACTATGCCAGTTTTCAAAAAGTTAACCAATCCTCAAATTAGAACTAGAGGGAGGAAGCTATACATGGCTTTCCAATAATGGAAACAGAAAAAAATAAATCAATTACATGGTCTAGTGGAGAAAAAGAAAGGTATAGAAGGGCCTAAAAATAGTTGCTGTTATCTCTGCTTTAATAATAGCAGATTAGCACACATTCTCTTGGAAATGTCACCTAGGCGACCAGAAATACAAAGACAAAGATGTTCAGAAAAATACATGTATATGGATCTATTTTTGCCATCTTTTGAACATAAATGATCACTATTGCAAGGAGGACAATAATTAGGAGACTAAGTAGGGGAAAGAGGTAGGTGCAGTAGAAAGTTTTGTAAGTAGGTGCCCCATATAAGTAGGGTAATAAAGTATAAAAGCAGGTCTCTATTTGTGTAAGAAGCCTTGACCTATTGTCTCAGATTTGGGCCAAGAATCTACTGAGAGTGTTAAACATATTTTTTCTATGTTGTTGAAATCTCATTTTTTATCTCATAAACCAAAGGCAGACTAATACAAAGGAGAGTAGCCTGACAAATTTTAAAACACATTTGGAAAACTCGTAAGTCCCACTTAACTGGGGTGACCTTATGTCCCTGTTTGCCTGGATTGCCTAGGACATCCCTACTTGGGCCTGTTTTTTGTTATAATCATTGAAAAGCTCTCCTCCTTCACACTCAAAAGTGTCCTGGTGTGAACAAAAAATTATATGGTCACTTTATATTTAGCCACAACAT